TCAATGCCATTATTGGTGATAACGATGTCTAATCGATTATCTTGGTTGAAATCTTCGACGCCAATCGCATATGGAGAAGCAGAACCAACAGTATAGTTGGCTTGATTAGCGAAAGTTCTATTACCATTGTTCAAAAGTACACGTATTTCATGAGTTCCAGAATTGGCGATGGCTATATCGACAAATTCGTCCGCATTAAAATGACCAAGAGCGATTGAGTATGGATGAGAACCAAGTCCGGTTGAAAACGTGATTTGTTTTTCAAAAGTTTTGTTGCTGTTTCCAAAAAGTATGCCTACACTATTGATTCCGTAATTAGCAATAGCGAGATCTAAATGGTTGTCGTTATTGAAATCTCCAGCAACTAATGAGGATGGAAGAGAATCATAACCTGTTGTATATGTAATTGGAGGTGAAAAGTTTCCATGAGCATATCCATAGAATATACTAACACTGTGAGTTCCGTGATTGGCAGTGGCAATATCAAGTAGGGAATCATTGTTGAAGTCAGCAGCAATAATTGCTATTGGACGAGATGAACCTGTTGAAAGTTGTATTTGACTTTCGAAAGAACCGTTCCCAAATCCATGAAAGATTCCGATATTGTTAGTGCCGAAATTCGCTACTGCAATATCCAATCGGTTGTCATTGTTGAAATCAGCAACTGTGACCATGTATGGGCTAGAGTAGGAACCTGTTGAATATATGATTGGATTTCGAAAACTGCCATCGCCTTTTCCCAAATACACCGCTATATTGTTGGCTATATGATTGGCAATAACCATATCCAAAACGGAGTCATTATCGAAATCGCCGATGGCGACAGATCGTGGACCATGCTTATATTCAATTGGCTTTTGAGCCGTTGGTTTAAAATTGAGACCGCACTTTGGAACTAAACGATATATGAAAAAGAATGAGATGACTGATTGTTTTCCCTAGTAGAAGTATTCGTCCTAAATTGTTTTCAGTTATTACAATTACTATCATAAGCTGCCATAAGTTACTAAATGGCTCTATTTAGAGACAGTATATAGCCATCATCGTGCAAAAGAACTCTGCTTAGTTTCTTCGAATTCAGATAAAGTTAGATATGGAAATTCATCAATTAAACCTCTTGTTTGTTCCCATCTTCTCATTTACTGTAGAATTCGTTCCAAAACTGTGCTGTGCCACACTATTGCAGAATCAAACGGATATCAAAACTGTACTGTTGTGTAATGCTCTCAGTGATCCGATCAATATTTTGGATTAGTAATTTAGAATAACAAACAGAATATAACAAAGTCTGCTACGAATGCTTGAGAATAAAAATGAACAAAATTATGCCGCTCAAGAAGCGAATGTGAATCTAGTGACTGATTAACCATGCATGAAGACGATCTACTATAGTTAGTGTATTTGTCAGTAATTTCGTCATATGGACAACGCATGTTCACTGATAGTTTTTGCGTGACAAGCATGCAATTGTTTATCTCTACTGCATTTCGTATAGTGAGCAATCAATGATTTCTATCGATTTGTTCAATCACAAATAGGGATAAATATTTTTCTCAGTTTTATAATGTATATACAAAATTTTACTATTTTTGAACCATGGTAACGAAAATAATTCGCTAGGATATGATAAAGATATGAGAACTCAGTGATGAATATAACATAGAACACATATAAGTCATACAAAAAGACAAAAGTAAAACGATTGTATGAGAGAATACTAGAAGAACGAAAGAAGATGTAGATGAAACACATGTACTACTTACTCTTGTCTGGAAGCAATATAAAGTGAGAAAAATCGCCTGTATTTTCTATTATTCTTTCGCACTTCTACTATATCGCAAAATATGTTGATGGCATAGAGAAAGAGGCATCCAGGATAAGGTGCTGTTTCCATTCAGAGATGTGAAAGAATACCACTAAAAATAATAGAAAAACTGATTCAAGAGCATTGAATTCGATAAGATTGATCTTTCTGCAACAAGTAACAATATGTAACATCAACTTGTAAAAAATCAGATTGTGCAATTTCTGTTTTATCGATGTATAAAAAAAATATAGAAAACGTAATACTCTCTATTCTAGAGAAACTTATTATTCTGCTTGCTTTAGAACAAAGTAGTAATGGGAAGACTCTTTCTGGAATTCTTTTCTAACCTATAGTCACTACCAATAAGTAAAATGAAAGAATCCAGCTTATGAACAAAGCATTGGATTTTCCAGAGATAATCACTTTGATCGGCTCGCATTCGTCAGTACTAATATAAAATGAAAAACTGAAGCAGTTGTAATGCTTATTATCCTGTTCCTGCTTCATAATTTGTTTCGAACATGTCAATATCAAATATTTTATCATAATTCAAATTTTATTTAACCAAAACTGAGAATACTAATAAAACAGAACCGCATTAACTGTGGATTATTATCGTATTGAATACGAAGAATACAAAGCAACAATTACGTACCTGAATATTTCGGTGCGGTAAAACAAACCACCAGTATACCTATGATCGTAACTATACCTGTAATCATAGGCAATACAAAGATAGGTGTGGGTATAAAACCCAACATTGACCAGTAACGAAACTTCCTAGAAAAGAGCAACAACGATGATATTTTAAATCAAAAGAAAAAGTCATACATAGTCTGTTGAAACGTGTAATTTTTTGTTCGATTGTTGGTATTATTCCCATCGTTTGTTGCATTTTCGGCGTCAGGAATTGATCTTGGCTCCTCGTTTGCGTGGTCGAAAGCAGTGTTCCTATCAGGCGCGTATTTGACCAACTTAGCATTACCATCCATAGGAGCCATTTCAATCTACAAAGAGACAGCAGTTAAGGACGAACACGTATCTGACATGAGCATATAAATATATCTCTAAATATGGAGGGGTTCTACAGAAAATTGTTCCTGCAGTATTTCTATTTAATCCATCCAGTCAATATACGTATTAAAATACAACTTTTCGGTGCCATCTCAACAATTTTTCAACTGTTAAATAAATGTGTTTGATATGTTGAGGAGACTGCACAAGATATCTGACGATAAAGTTATACCCGATGAAAACACTGTGCACATACTGCAGTATATTAAAACGCTTATCAAAGCTGCTGCTTATTTAGTTTTTACTGATTTTTGTCAAAACTAATACACATCATTTTTTCTGTTTTCAATTCTCTTGCATGAATACTTTCAGATGAAAGACTTTCAACATATTTTCTAACAATATTTTTTAAAACAGTCTCTTGCAGAATTTCAGATCCGTCGAACCTTGATCAAGACACCACAATCACCGTTTTTAGAATTGTTAATTGGGAAAGTAAAACTTTCGTAGAATTTCTATATATAAAAGGCATATCGAAGTTATTTTGTCCTCTTTTCGACATTTACAAAAAAGCTATCAAAGTGAGATTAGTTTTGGAAGAAAAGTATATTAAAGTATTCTAACGTAGAAATTTTTTCTTCGTGGTGAAAGCTGAGATTTTATGTGGGCTTATTACAGAAGACTATGAATGTTTTCTATGCAAGATATCTCAGATTCTGCCTATATTTGAACAGATTCGGACGAAATATGTTTGTTCGATATTAGAAGATTATGAATGGATAGTATTTTGAAAAAACTATATCTCACTGAGATGAAATGGTCTATGAAAATTTCTGTTTCTTCACCTCTCTTCTTGAATTGCGATTATTTTGGATACTCTGTTCAATAACGTTAAGGTAGCAGTAAAATCAAATGATCGAGTTTATAGTTTCAATAATGTCTATAAATAGACATCAAAGACAACGGTTAGCGCGAAAAGTGTAGGTCATATCAATTGGTACATCGAGAGAAAAGAAATGATCATCTTCAAACGTATGAAAAATTTTCTTCTGGTAGTCGCCATTTTTGAACTGACATCCGAAAAAAATTGTCAAGTGTCAGCAAGAAACAGCTCGATTCCTTACTGTTATCGGCACTACGAGTAACATTTAAACCTACCGATAGTGTCTCCGGCTGCAATGGGCGAACATTGCATAAGTTATGACATCTGAAAAAAAACCTCATCAATTAGATTTGTCTGGATCGGCAAATTACTCTTCTCTTCTCTGTATATATCTTTTCGAATGATATCGAAATATTGCTTTAGCTATATTTCCGGGAAGCCTTGGTTGACAATATATCAGTTAGTTTCTTTCTGTTTGGCTGCATCTTCGGAAAACCTTATGCTTTTATTAAATCGACGACAACAGCTCATTCTCAACAATGAAAACGTAGTTTTTTTGCTGTTTAAGAATTTCTGCTGTTATGTGTGAATCTATTCTATGAGGTTCAATAGAGTTTTCGAATAGCTTGCATGTCATTCGGTCATTTAAATCTACTATCATATAACGCTTGTAAAGGTTACTGATCCAATCTTTTCCCTGTTATTTGGCTGTTGGAAAAATCTATTTTAGTTTTTTTCCGTCATTTTTGTGAAATGAAAGCATAGAAGCTTCTCTCTTTCTGCTTCTGAATCTTTTTGCATTTACGGTGAGTACTAGACGTGTTCCTCCATATAAGTTTTGTTCGATTTATTTTGATTATGATAAACAATAACTCTAGATTTTATTGCACGCTATATCAGAATTACATCCTCCGAGAAAGTCAGTCCTCGCATCAATAGTAAATCTCAAATTAGGATCATAAAAAAATATTCTGAAGTGTTCTGTAGTTTATCTTATGGTATGAGATTAAGTACTTGATTTTACTAATTTATTTGGAAAAACAGTGTGTACTACTGACATTTTCTGTGCCGACGTAGAATTTCGATTGAAAAAGAAACTTGAATATTATTTTAAAAGTTGAAGCGATCTTCTTGAGCTCTGTATAGTTTCATCGTATATTTCATTGAAGTTTGATTTCATGTAAAATTTGTTTCTGATAAGTATAAAAATAACTATTTACAAATATCAGGCACATAGCGATTGTTGTAGAAAAAGTATGTAAAAACATCATATAAAATTTATTTCGATCTTAATATTCCCATCTCGTATAGTTTTCATCAAATTGACAGTTGACTGCGATTCATTAAAAACTGATGGTTTGAACGGTTTTCTCATTTTTTTTTATAAATTTTTCAAAAAATTCATTGCTAAATCATCATTTACAATTTTGAATTGATTACGTGATTTACCGAAGAGCTATTTTTTTGGCGCTATCTTTAATAAAAGATTAAAAATCGAGAACTCAGCGAATATAGTTGGTGTCATCGATACTGGTGGCTTAAATGCTCTCACATTACAATGAAAACGTGATTTCGATTAACATCCAACACATTTGTACGAGTTCCAAAAATATGTACGAGATGCGTGGCTAGCCAGCGGTTTTCCATGGGTTTGAATGACATGGGTAATTTTGTTACTCAGCTTATTGCGATATTAATCACGCATCATAAATCGATAAAACTATCGAAATTATTATGCAATTTTAAAAAAGCAACGTTTCTAGTGAAATGCTAGAGAATCAAGTAGAAGGGAAGACCTAGGCTAGAAGCTCTATTTTATTTGACAGAGATGGAGCTGCTCCACCTTGTAGCCACAAAGTTGGCAAGTTTCTTGGTCAGCTGAAGATGTGGGCGTGGGGTGTGAGTTTGAAGAAGAGTAAGATACTACACCCACGCCCAATTCTATGCTGATTCACGTGATATGCAGCCCG